TGCTGCTGCTGCTGCTGCTGCTGCTGCTGCTGCTGCTGCTGCTGCTCACGTTCACTCCAGCACTTAGGCTATCGAGCTCCTCCAGGACTGGCAACGGCGTCGTTGTCGCACNCGCCGCCGGAGCTGCCACTCCCGTTCCTGCCCCTATTGAAGGGGTACGCCATCCCTGGTACCGCCCCCCGTCTCCTCGCGCCACACTAAGATGTCTTACCGGGTTCGAAGGGGTGCGTCGGGGCTCCACTCCAGGTTTCATCCAACCCCTCATCCCCGCTCCCATCGCCGCCGCTTTCCTCGCTGCTGCTGCTGCTGCTGCTGCTGCTGCTGCTGCTGCTCACGTCCCCCTCAGCCTTCCCGGGGTCGAAAGGGTGCATCGGGGCTCTACTCCAGATGTCATACAACCCCTCGTCCCTGCTCCCATCGCCGCCGCTATCCTCGCTGCTGCAGCTGCAGCTGCTGCTGCTGCTGCTGCTGCTGCTGCTGCTGCTGCTGCTGCTGCTGCTGCTGCTGCTGCTGCTCACGTTCACTCCAGCACTTAGGCTATCGAGCTCCTCCAGGACTGGCAACGGCGTCGTTGTCGCACCAACCGCTTCCTCCAACTCTTCGTCACATACTCCGTCACCGGTGCCGCCGCCGCCGCCACCCTTGCGTCCGTTGGTCACCCGACGCCTCTGCGGCGACCGGGGACGCCGCTGCTGCTGTCGCCGCTGCCGTTCCCCCCGTCACCGATATCGGCGCCGCCGCCGCTGCGGCCGTCTGGACAACCAACGCCAACGCGGCGACCGGGGACGCGGCTGCTGCTGTCGCCTCTGCCGTCCCCCCCGTCACCGATGTCGCTACCGCCGCCGCTGCGGCCGTCTGGATACCCGACGCCAACGCGGCGACCGGGGATGCCGCAGCTGCTGCTGCCGCTGCCGTTCCCCCTGTCACCGACGCCGCCGCCATCGCCGCTGCGTCCGTCTGAGTACCCGGCGCCAACGCGGCGACTAGGGACGATGCTGCTGCTGCTGCCGCTTCCGACGAATGCTTGGGTTGTTGAGATTCCGCGTACGGCGAAACTACAACAACGTGATACGATCCCAGCATGTGTTCCTCCGCTACACGTCTACTGCTGTATCCGCCCTCCATGAGGTCCAGCTCATCGCGTCGCCGCACTACGGCAGGTGCTACACGTGATGTTGCGGGCCGCTCGGGAGAGCGAGTGGTGGAGTGTGACGTTGGCGGGGGCTTTTATCGGCAAATACACCGCAGACGAACCGGCAGCAGCCCCTCNGTCTACTGCTGTATCCGCCCTCCATGAGGTCCAGCTCATCGCGTCGCCGCACTACGGCAGGTGCTACACGTGATGTTGCGGGCCGCTCGGGAGAGCGAGTGGTGGAGTGTGACGTTGGCGGGGGCTTTTATCGGCAAATACACCGCAGACGAACCGGCAGCAGCCCCTCCCCCCTTCTCACCAACGAACACCCCACCACTCACCTGTCCACCTGCACCCCCGGTGAAGCCGTCCGCTAGCTGTTGTTGCTGCGGCTGTTGCTGAGAGTCACCGCCGTACACCACGCCTGGCTGCTGCTGCTGCTGCTGCTGACGACACACAGACCCGCCGCCAAACTCGCCGTTCCTGCGCTGCTGCTGAAACGGTCCAGGTCGGTTGTACTTCCAGTAGATCATTTCGTGGTTTGGTGCCAGGCACTTGATGCTTACGTGTCCAGAACGCCCGCACCGATCGCACTGAGGAGGCCCGTGAAATTTCCTCGGCTCACTGCCGACATAAAACCCACCAGCCGCATCGACATTCCTCCAATCGCGAGTACAACCCATACCTTGCTGCTGCTGCTGTTGCATCGGCCCCGCACACATGCTGGAGCTTCCGCTGCCGCAACTCATTGGCGCGCTCGCCGTTGCCGCCGATGCTCGTCGTTCCTCCATCCCTCGTAAAATCACTCTTGGGTGGGACCGCCTGCCGCCATCCCCATTATAACGCTCCGAGCCCTCAGCTCCATAAAATGCTCTCATACCCTCGTCATCGCCGAACCAACACCTGGCCTAGCTAGGCTCCACTCGATATAGTCTATGGTGTTAGTGTGCACTGCCGTCCTCATCGGTCTGTGGTGTTGAGACTGGGTGCAATGTTATCCCAGGAACAGCAGATGAAAAAGGACCATGTATTAGACTATATATATCCGTCACGCAAGCCCCTCAGGCAAGCTATTAGTTGGGTGTGTGTGCGCGTTTTTACTTTTAGCATCGACCGCGCTGACCGGCTGACCAATGAAAGACGTCAGTCTCAGTGCGGGTGGAAACCAAGAACACTTCTAAATGCCATTATATCAGACCCCGTGAGGGGGCGGCATGGGGGAGACTAACCTATTCTCCGGATCAAAGACAGAAACGGTAGCAACAGAAGAAAACTGCACGTCCACGAAGGCTGCGACCCTGCACTCGAGTTCGTTTTGGAGTGCTTTCACCGTCATCCTCCTTCCTTCCAACTCCATCATTCTCATGGTCATTTTCATAGCAACTTCTCGACATTTCATCTCTAGCCCTGCGTCGTTTGCGGTGGGGAAGGTCATCTAGCTCGAAGCTCTTGCTCTCTTCCACGCCATTGATCCCTCCTCGAATGCTGCTTCGGTCTCTGCCTTGTCCTCCTCCCGTGTGTGTGTGAGTGTGCTATTTTTTAAATGCACCATCCCAAACATCGGAAGTGGTGTGCACACTACAGCACACAGCCTTCATTTTGACTTTGGCCTCCGCCCGGGCAATCATAGAAGTACAGATCCTGTAGGGTGGCTGCGAACGCTCTTAATGAACCGATCTCTACGCTTTTCAGTCCCGATCCATTTTTGCACACAACTGAATGCACTCAGAGACGCAGTATTGGGGAGTTTCGGGGAAAAGTTACGTTTTGGTTAGGCAAAGTTGTTTGAGAATTGCCTAGACAACGGTTGGCATCAAAACGATCCGAAAAGAGGTTCAGATTTGTTTTCGGCATGACGTGGTAACGTCTCCACGCTGATTGGCCAAAAGACTCGCCTGCGCCGTTGTTCCCCAAGCCGCTTCTTCTCTGTCTACCCAAGGAGTAGATTAGGCTTGCTTGGTTGGCTGCTGCCATCTATCATCCAAGGTGCCAGGAGCATCTAGCGGGGGCGTCACCGCAGAGAAACACTCTGTAAAGGTTTTTTGCAAGCAAATTCTCAGCCGCTCAGGTGGCGTCCTGCTTCAATCAAGCGAACGAGAGAGGCGGCGGTTCAGCAGCAGCTATCTAGACTAGCTGCAGCAACAGCAGCAACAGCAGCTGCAACCTAGAACAATCACCCCTTACACAGCGATTTTTGCATCAGCATTCTAGACTGCAACAGCTGTTGAGAGGAGGTGGCGCCGATAGAAAGTAGCACAAGGCAACTTTTGGGGCACCTCCCAGCAATCCGAGACCTCCCAGCAGTTCGAGTGGCCTACACCTCATGGTCTGGGAGTTATCCGGAACTGGTTGTAGGCGAGAAAGTTGCTCTATTTTGACGCTGGTGAACCCTGTCTCATCCCACCCTTGCTTGTCGGTCCCTTCCAAAGCGATCATCACATACCTACAGTACATATTAGACGCACACCGGCCGCATCGGAGGAGGAGGAGGTCTGCCTGTCCGGTGGTGGTGACATGATGTGTTTGCGGCCTACGCCACTTATTTATCGGGTGAGACTTTTTTGGTGATGTATTAACTTCACGGGAGGTAGACGACGGTGCTTCACACGGACGAAAGAGGGAGTGCTCAAAGAGCGGCTCCCACAGCAAGGAGGGGCCCCGTGAATCATCGCGGTGCCCCCTATCAAACGGTTATCTTACCAGTCTGCGTGACACTAAATCATCCAGCACATGTATCCAACAGCAATGTTCGCAGACTCACGAACACCCTCCCTGGTTCTTCACGCAAGTGACTAACCATCAATTGGGCAAGAACGCCCCAGGATACATCAGAAAATACCAACATGGTAACATATGGAGGGGAAACCCGGCGTCCGGGCAAAACCCCTCAAGGAAAAATGAGGCTCCGAGGAGTCTCTACCCTGCGATGCCATATTTCATGGTTTACTACTCTCTGTTGCTGCTAAATAACTGGACCTGATGAACAGAAACCCACGCCTCAGATAGAGTGAAGGTGGTTAGAGGTGTTTGTCTGAGCCGTGGGTATAAGTTGGGGCCGTCCGAGACACAAAAACAAGTTACCGGCTAAATTGTTCAAAACATATGAACCTCGGTTTGTCTGGGCCATTTATCCGACCCAAACACAAACTTCCGAAACTATCTACTAGACTATTCCTCAGCGACGAACGAGCGTTCGTGGACAGACTAACGTGCAAGGACTTTTCTATGTACAGTGAAATCTCCACTGCTCACGATTTTCTGGAAATTCTACTTGGTAGTCTTGTGCATTGATGTTGTCGACACACCGCCGTTGATTCTCTCCAGTACAGCTACGGGACACAAGTACAAGACTGCATGTTGCACATACATGCACATCCTGTAGCACTGGATGGAGTAGACCCGACAATACTATGCTGTAGAATGATATGCGTGTACAACCTCCACATCCCTCCATGCCCTACGCAAGGACGGACGCCTCCTGTCCGTGCTTTCCGTGTTTTATATGTGTGTGGATCTTCCTTCATCTTCAACATGTCTTTCATGCCCCGGGACTGCCGGGGTGCAACATTTTGGGTCCTTTCGGAAAAATAGTACAGCTGCAGTAGTAGACTACCATGTATTGTTTTTCTAGGCCAGTCATGACGTGAGTTCAAGTCCCGCCAGGGGTTCGGTCGTTAGGTTTACAACGGTCTGTGAGTTGACACGGAGGTACGCAAGAAGACAAGAAGGAAACGATGGTGACCACACCAACACAACCGAACCACGCCTTGGCGGCAGCCGCATGCACCCTGTGGCTACGTGACTACCCTTGAGATCGCGGGATCGTGGGGTGTGGGGCGAGAATGTGTTGTTGTCTTCACATTAAAAACCGTTCCGATCTCTCTATACCCAGTACCTTCGTATGTCCGTACTGATCCAACACTCGACGCGGTCGATTCCCGTGGTCGCAGGCTAACTTACCCTAAAAAGGTACACTCAAATATTATGGCCCCGAGGGGTCCGCAAGTCAATAGAAATCAACGACAGATATTCTGGGGTCCTCCACTCCCTCTGCGCGCTATGCGAGGTAGCAACTGAGACTTGGGGTCACCATCACGGGCCGGAGATAATGAGGTACACCCCCTTGGTTCAATCTTGGTACTTCACAACGCAAGCAGAGACAAGGCCATCTGGCACAGAAAAAGAGAGAAAAAGAGAAGAAGAGAAAATGAGAAGAAAATACAAGGAAACAGTAATAAGGAAAGAGAAAATGAAGTAAAAAGGGCGAAGACAAAAAGAGACCAGGCCGAAAATACCAAGAAATAGGAGACAGAAAAAGGCACACGGTGGAGAGACCACTAACGACACGCAAACACGCAAACATGGCCACCAACCAGCGATACATTGTAATGGTACGTCATCACTAGTG